TCTCTCTCTCTCTCCCACAGAGAGAAACTCAGAAACAGAGATCGAAAGCTCTTTACCGAAAACCCTACAACCAATCAACAGGTATCTTAAAAACGGTAACCAATCAGATGACATACATCAAAATTTAGGAAGAGCTTTGATTGGCCAAGATTCTTTCCAATATCATACCTTTTCGGCATCATAGGTTTATTATGGCTCAAACCCTCTAAGGGTGGCTAAAAATAAAAAGGCTCGTGGCTTTAAGCCGTCTTGTCGCGACTCGCGATGCGCATGAGACGTAAATCGTGATCGGTACTAATCAGGCCCAGACGCTACGGGTCCTGTTCCTATCATCCTATGTATCCCACTATCCCCTGATCCAATTTTGCCTTCTTCCACCCAAAAAAAGACCCATCTAAGTCTTATGCCTCCTTTTAAATAAATGCTAATAAACCACTTTAGATAAAGGAAGTGAATATTCGAAACTCCTTTTATTCTGTGGCTCTTGTCATCTCTCCCTCCATCTCTGAGAGAAACACAGAACAAATGCTTTTCTATCAAAGCTCTTTCCTTTTTTTTCGTGATCGGCTTCCAGGCCATACCCTTCTAACATCCTTTTAATATTTCCCCTTTATTTAATGGGGAGATACAGTAAAGACTGTTCGAAGCCAAACTCTTTTTTTTTGTAGTTAGAATTTATTAAAGCTCTTTCGTATGGTATCTTTTCGGCATTATAGACTTAAGTTGTCTAGCATCTTTATCCGAAATAAACAAAGGGTTCAACTATAATACCTGAAAAGATATGATATCGAAATAAACATGTAACCAATCAATCTCTATCATAAATATGATAATCAATCAGGTGGTATATTTATCAAAATTGATTTTGATTGATGAAATCTCTTCTAGAACCGTGTTCTTTCCGTGTCATCTCTCGACAAATGAAAAATGCTCGACGTTTTTTTTAAGAAAAAATTCTTTGTCACCACCACTAGTGATGTTCAATAGATGTGAATCCTGACCTGTACTTATTAGAATTGCAATTTGGGCGAGGTTAATTCAAATCCAACCAAAATGTTGGGTCAAGTTGAAATTAGGGTTGAAAAGTATGAATCCAACATAATTCCCACTTAAGCACTATGCAACAAAGCTCTCCCCCAAAGATGCAACCTGCCCACTCTGTGGTGTTGAGGGAAGAGGATATCCCTCACATGCTTTGGAATAGATCTATTCATGGGCCGGGCCGGGCTGGGTCAAGTTCAAGTCAGGTTTTTATTCTCCATTAACAGATATTTTAAGGCCTGAGTGTGAGCCCGGCCCGACCATTGGACCTACAACTTAGGCCCCCCAGCCCTTATAAAAAGCCCAAAGCTTGGGCCTGGGCCTGAGCCCGAAGTCTAAAACTCAACTTGTTGTCACTGCTACCGCTGAAGTGACTGAACAGAGAGAGAGGGAGAGAAAAAATATAAAGAAAAAAAATAAAAAAATGTATATATTAAATTATTAATATATATATATATATTATAATAAATATTATATATTTTATATTATATAAATTAATCGGACTGGGCTCTTTTGACAAATCCCGAACCCAGCCCGAAATACAATCAGTCTTGGTGTTTTGGGCTCGAGGTCAGACCTGCGGGCCTAACTACAAGTCTAAGCCCGATTGGGGTGCGGGCTGGGCCGGGCCATCGGACTAACCGGCCCATGAAAAGGTTTACTTTAGAGGTGCAGCCATGCTAGGGCGTCTTGGTTCTTCTCCTCTGGGGGTTTTCGTTCAGAGGGCCTGATGAACAGAGACATAACGGAGGTGATAAAATCTTGGTTTGATAATGGTGGTCGTCTCTTTGGGGACAAATTAAAAGAAGCGGCCTTTTTTGCTACCTATGTTGGGAAATTTGGAAGGCGAGAAACCGGATGTGTTTTAATGATCAGCCTCCGGATCCGCTGGCAACTACCAAGCGGGCTATCGCCCTGCTTGAGGAATGAGGAGTACTTCCGTTCCTCCTTGAACGAGGTCCCGGATGAGTGCCCCGTTTTACCTTTGGAGGCTGGCGTTATTACAGAATGGGATTTTCTTATTTTTTGTCACGCGAGCCTAGATACCCATTTAACAGAAGTCGGCATTGCTTGTGTTCTCTTCAATGCGGATGGTTCCTTCTTAGCCGCTAAAGGTGATCTCCTCCCGGTATCATCTATTACTGAAGCTGAGCTTCAAGCTATCAAGCTTGGGATTCGAGAAGTTGTTCAACTCAACGTTAAGAAGGCAATTGTTCTCTCTGACTCGACGTCGGCGATTAACCTTCTCGGCACAGATCAACATCCTCTTTGTCACCCGCTACAGTCTATTATTACACACATTCGTAGTCCTCTGGGCCAAAGGGCTGAGGTCCTCTTCCAACATGTGAAGAGAGACCGTAATGTTGTAGCCCATTCCCTCGAGTCAATAAAGAGGCCTTCTACACTTTGTTGTCTTTGCACCGTTGGCTTATTGTCACGGTCTGACATAGGCTTAGCCTTGTCTATGCTTAGCGGGTTTATGTTAAGGGACATCACCGTCATTTTGTTTTAGTAAGATTATTGGGAAACCTCATGTCATCTTTAGGCAAACCATCAAAATCTTAACGTACTCTTTGAGGAGGGGTGGTTGACCTCCTTGGGTGCCTGACCTTGGCACTCTTAGACCAACATCCCTTGCAGGGCGGCCCTGATTAATGGCTAGCATGGCTACCAGGGTTCCTCATGGGCACACATGCTCATGGGGGCAGTGCATGGACTGGCATTGCGCCTCTGCTCACTAAAGGGAGGCTTGGCATGCGGGTCTAGCTTAAGCATGTCCCTACACCTCGCCAACCCCTTGCTTAAGCTGAATGAACTACCCCGTTGCCCATAGCGCATGGGTGTGTTTCGGCCCAGCGGTTGCCTATCATCATTGGCACAATAGGATCCTAGCATCATCGGCATACAGGAGCCCCTCTCATTGGCGTCAGGTCGCCTCTCATTTGGTCGTCCCCCTTTAGCACGTAAGCAACGCCTCCCATGGACCGGAAAAAGCCAACAGAGAGCCCTAGCCATGCTAACTGAGGTAATGATCCAGTGCTACTTACCTTGGTGGAGCCATCTCATCGGGCAACTCCTAGCCCCGAACACACATAAGGCTTGTCATGGCCTGCCTTGGCCTGGATGCCACACAGGTTTCTTCCGTTGTAAGACTACCCCCATGACAGTTGGTATCAGAGCAGAATGCACACAGAGCCAGTTGAAGCGGTAATCTTGACAAGCAGCACATTGTGGGGTGTGGTCCTTAGGCACTTCCACTCGGGTACAAGTAAGCAAGCATTCACATCAAGCCTAGCAAGAGGCCATTCATTCATGTCCCCATTCCAATGACCCGAAAGCAGTGTTCATGTGGGGGCAGATGCATGGGCTATTTTATGGAAGGCATATTGTGGTGGTTTGAGTGGGGGAGTGTCATGCTTCCTCACGAACATCAATTGTTGTTCATTTTGGTGAGGTGTGGGCGGTGTGCCTACATCTTGGTTTCATGACAAATGGGCCATTGTTCCGTAGCTTGTCTGAAGCACTACTAAGACGGGGAAAGTAGTCTGAAATTGGTTAGTGTCGACGGTTGGTCAAGGAATATCACTAAAGTGACAGTTTTGCATAAAAAATGGTCATCGGTTGAAGCCACAATATTGGAATGTTAGGAATGTGGGTACACTTGCCATTGGAGCATGGTGGCCCAGCACTAGCATTGAATTGGAGGACATGCTCAGCTCACACAGGTGGAACACTTGTAGCAACAACAACACATTACATAGGCGAGTGCATGTTCGGCAACGTCATGGGTAAAAGTTGCCACACTCACACACATTACGGTCAAATCTCCTTGAGGCAACAGCACATTGGGGCCCCCTCGAAGCGAAGAGGTAACCCGAGTCAACGTGGTGAAGTGTAGTTTCGAGGGCCAAGAAATCATAAGCCATGTCTAGGTTTGAATAACTCGAACATGGCAATGTGAAGTCTGCAGGCCAACATGGTAAAAGGGTACCCAAGACACATCGCCAATAGTAGGAGTAGACCTATCACATTGTGTTCGATAGCACCACCAAAAAGCTACCACAAAGACGGTCAATCATTGAGGTAAAGATGATACATGGGGCGGACCTCCGTGAAGCACACACATCAAATTTCTTCGAGCGCCCTTCTCATATACTTTTCAACGGCATAGCCATTACACGGTTTGAGTAACCTCAACACACAGGGAGAAGTCTAGGCAGGTTGGCATGGTGAAATGGTTCTATCCCCATAAATGGACACCAATATAGGCGAGACCCGGGTTAACCAAGTGAGCCCAGAACTGGAGCACATGGATGGCGCGAGACATAGACGCCCATTCACAAAAGGAGCCATTGTCGAGGATGACAATGGATTGAGTGGGATTGTGGGAGAGTTTGTCACGACCTGACACAGGCTTAGCCTTGCCTACGCTTGGCGGGTTTACGTTAAGGGACATCACCGTCATTTTTGCTAGTAAGATTATTGGAAAATCTCATGTCATCTTTAGACAAACCACCAAATGCTTAACGTACTCTTTGAGGAAGGGTGGTTGACCTCCTTGGGTGCCTGACCTTGGCACTCTTAGACCAACATCCCTTGTAGGGTGGCCCTGGTTAATGGCTAGCATGGCTACCAAGGTTCCTCATGGGCGCATGGATCAGCACTGTGCCTCCACTCACTAAAGGGAGGATTGGCATGTGGGTCTGGCTTAAGCACGTCCCTACACCTCGCCAGCCCCTTGCCTAAGCTGAATGAACTACCTCGTTGCCCATAGCGCGCAGGTGTGTTCCGGCCCAGCGGTTACCTATCATCATTGGCACAATAGGTGCCTAGCATTATCGGCATACAGGAGCCCCTCTCATGACTATCCCCCTTTA